TATTTGTAATTTTAAGGTTTAAAAATTGAGATTCTAAAATTTATTCGCAGTTTGAGGGCATTTAGGTCAAATACCATTAAATAAGGACCGCTGATGGGGTGATACGCAAAGTTTATGAAACCACGAGGGAGTTTGACGCAGTTTTAGAAGTATATGGGATTTGGTGCAATTTCATGAAACCACGTGTGGATTTTGTACAATTTAGCCTTTAATTTATGTACTCCTAAAGGTTGCATTAAGTTGCTTCTACAGTCTTATGTTGATATTATGGGAAAAAGTATTGTGGTGATTGGTAAGATTAACATTGTTGGATTACTTGCAACATTACTTCCCAAGTATTGATATATATAATTTAATTGATCTTAGTCTAGTAAGTTTAGATTAGAGTGTAAAGATATATATATTCATGTAATTTAATTGTGCAATTAATTATATAATTACATTTTTTTTTTCTAATTTACTGAACTCCAACATTTTATCTATTTATGGGCAGTGGAGCACCATGCTACGGTGACTATTCTTCATTAATTTGCCAAAAATCCAGAACAAATTTTTTGTGAAGATGATATCTTAATTGCAGCTACAGAAGTATCCAATTTTGGTCTGTGGTAATTGGTTAAAGCCAGACGCGGTTGTTGTAGACTTTTTAAAAGTGTAATTTTATATTTTTATAGGATGTTCATCAATCATTTCATTGTAATTATTTTTTATGTGCTAGATATAATGTAATATTGTATATAAATATACAATAATAAGAGTGTTGCATTGATGCTATTTTGTAAATTTGATGTAATGTGGTAGGTGAATGGGAATTACGGATATGTGATGATGATCTTTTATATATGACTCGTTGACGATAGATGTTTCTTAAAATGTAACACATGTACACAAATTGTGGGTCAGTATTTTTTTTGTTTATTTTGAAGTATATATAGTTGATGTCACGAAACACATGGGTCTGTAGCGTATTACCCATTTAAAAATTATAGTAAATTTATGTTACTTAATTTTCTAAATGGCAAAAAGTAAGTAGTATATTTTGTTGCATTCATTAGACCCATACTAAAAGGGTTATTAATTCTTGTTCTTATCGAAATCTATCGAGCTCACTTTATGTCCTTGAGTACATTGAAACGAGCATTCATTTAAAGTATGCAGGTACACAATTACCCACCTATGTCATAATGTTATATTCTTTATTTCCATGAAAGCAGAGCCCTGGTACATAATTTGATAAGAATTAGTACATTAAAAATCAATAGGGGGTACATTGGAGCTATGCTGAAGCACTTGCCTACTCAACCAAATTATACTTTTTAAAAATGTTCCTGGCTAATTGATATTGAGTTTATAAGTGTGCAGTAGTTTGGATTTTTATGTCGGTCAAAATATTTTAGACAAGATGTGTTTGTTCAATTACAAAAAAAACACCTGAAGTCCTAATAGTATATTACAACTACCGTTTTCACTTGAATGTTGTTGTGTGTGCGTGTAGATTACTATTTAATAAGTTTAAAGATTTTCAATTCGTGACAACAATTATGTATTCTAACAACTAATATAATTTAACTTCGTTATTTATAACTTGTTTAGTCATCTACAAGTGGAGGTTAGAGTATAATTCTACATATATCATACAATATAATTAAGTCATTTTTTACTTGTTTAGCCATCTATAGTAAATATGTGTTGTTTATCTTTTTATATAATTCGGGGTGTCATAGAAATACTATCACGATGAATTCATCCCTGATTACCGACAATAAGTGAATATTTTGAACCGAAAATGGTCAGTTACCTAAGCACACGTTACCAAGGTATATATACTCGATATTGAAGCATGTGATACCAACATTATCGGTAGGTAAGATTTGCGCTAGGGCATATCGGTATTTGATGCAGGTATGTTAGTATGTGCTCCGGGTACAAATACCGACATCCAAGGTATAATAATGGTTGCTTAGGTATTATCTATGTAGTAGCAGGTATCCGTGAATGTGCTTGATTGCAGTTGATTCTCTTATGGAGGGGCCAATTCACGAACTCGGTGTGAGTACTTCTTCTCCTCGAGGGAAAAATTTGGGCATAGTACGTTTACATTCGACAGCACATGCCCACACTTTTCAATGGCAGGACGATAAAACATGTATAAGTAACAACCAACATAGTTTAACAAGTCCTTTATGATTTGTTTAGTCATCCATAGTTAATATGTATTGTTTATCTTTACATACAGTTCTGAGATTCACATGAATACTATAATGATACATTCATCCCTGTTTACCGAAAATAATTGAATATTTCAAATAAAGAACAGTCGGTTTCCCAAACACAAGTTACCAAGGCATAAATACTCGTTACGGGGGCATATAAGATCATATTACAGGTACATAAAAACTATTCCGGGGTATGCCTTTAATGCAGGTATGTAACAATGTCCTCCTCTTACGAGCATTGAAAATCAAAGTATGATTGAAGTTGCTTAAGTATTATTTGTGTAGTAGTAGATATCCTTGAATGTGGTCAACTTCAGTCAATTCCTTGACAGATGAGGCAATTAAGGAAGTCGGTGAGAGAACTTCCTTTATTAGTCTCGGTGGAAAGGTTTGGGCATGAAACATTTACATTCAACAGCTTATGCCATAATTTTCAATAGCATGATCACAAAACATGTAACGTTATTCAATGGGTGTAATATAATTACTTTATGCGTCGATAGAATATAACCGGTTGGATACGCTGACATATTTATAATAGTAAATGGTATGTAACTCTATTACACAGGTATATAATGAAATAGTAAAGGTTTGTAGATATATTCTGCAGGTATATTAGTAATGTACTGAGGTATTTGATTATGCAGCTCTGTAAGAACGAATGATAAATATAATATCCTGTTATTTCCACGGTATTTGTATTCTATTATTAGGTAATCATTTGGAGTTCTAATAGTTGATTGAAACCCGGTGTTGTTGCTAAGTACAACCATTACCTATATAGCACAATTAAACACCAAATTTCCATATGCCACACAACTACATTACTATTATGAAGTTATATACGTTCCTACTAGAGGTATGTATATGTATTATGCAAGCATGTTGGTAATGGATTGAGCTATCTGGTGATGTTAACATATGGGAACGAATGATAAATATAATATCATGTTGTTTTCATAATGTCAGCTCCGATGTTGAATAACGTGGGCTCCGAGCTAAAGTTATTAATCAAGGCAAGTAGACGGTGCCACTACAACCTCATCTTTGGACAGTCCAAAAAATGGCCGAATAGAGTCATTTTGATGGTTGTAATATGTTCATCTAATATACGTTTCTTCATTTTCTCCACTTAGTTGTGAAAAAATGGTACTGCAAATCGGATAATAACCTATTTGTATTCATTCCTCGATTTGTAAATAAATACCACCGGTCCACATTATCCGAACCTCAAATTTATTTAAAAGTTTATCATAATCTATCAGGAGTACGTAACAACACATTCCGATTATATAATAGTCTCATAAAAGTATATTACTTAGAAAACTAGACCTAAAACATACAACTCGGGGTACTTAACAATACTATATTTGCCAACCCATAAACATGACTAATTACCGAACAATCGAACAAAAAAACTAAAATATGCAATTCTAGGTAACTAAACAAAATGTACATCTAAAAAATTAACAAAAATCACAAAATAAATATATAAAATCATCCAAAATCGGTGCAAAAATAAAACACCCAAGTCGGTGTATCTGAACAAATATACGAACGGTTTCAAATTTGATTAACAAATAAAACTACACCGATCACTTAGGACTTCTCAACACCAAACCAATGCATAAAAACACGGGACCAAGACTTACACCCCAATAATCGAACAAACTACGGTATAAAATATCAATGTCAACAAATCAAAACTTGAAAAAAATCCAACCAGACACTTACTTCTTCGAGCTTGTCTTGGGGGATGGGAGCGGTCAGCTGTTTTCTTCACATTTTTGCATCAAATCGGTTGTTACTTGATCGCCGGAGGTTGGAGAGCATCGGTTCGCCTAAAGATGGAAGAAAAAAAGGTTTGAAATCAGTGTGAGGAGAGTTATGAGAGATTTCTTACCTTTACCCCTATTAAATCATGAATTGATTGTATTTTTTTATTTTTTTTTTGTAATTCGCAAAAAGAAAAGGTATGAGATTTCTAACTAGAAGTATATAAGGTTATAACGGGGTAGAGCGGGAAGTAATATAGATATATATTACAACATTTGAAGTATTGATCTACCTATTTCGAGTACATGTTGCATATACAACGGTGATTGAGGAAAAAATACACATTGGGAGATATAACAAACCTAATCCATAAAATAGAGACTGCAGTCTAACTAATTTTCAATAAAAACTGAATTGAGTGTATTTGTCTGACATAAATTTTAATTCAACTTTTTCTATTTTTTATTTGTTTGTATTATTATACAATTTTGTTATCAATAAAATGACATTTTATACCGAATATATTAATATAAGAAATATAATATTTAAAAAAATATAAGTGCATTTATTTTGTGCCCGGAGTTTGAAGTATTTATTTTTTATTTTTTAACTTAGAATAAAAAAACTTGTCATTAATATAAAATAATATTTTATAGTGGTATTTTAATTACAGCAAAATAATATTTTTATAATAAATTTTTTTTGTCCTTCAATTTATCTTTATTATTAAATTTCGTTGGAAATTTGAACCCATAACTTCATGTTCACACGTTTAATCCCCACATGTTCAACCCTCGCACCACCGTACTATCCTTACGGTACCCTTTTGTATTATTGGTGTCGGCTCCCGCAACCTATCTTTTAAATTAATGGTTTACGCTAGCAAACAAAATTAAATTAATTGAACAAACTTTATATATATATATATATCTTAATTTATTCTTAATTAATAAAATCAGCTCAATCATGAATCAAACATTTCATTCTCAAAAAGTAAAATAACACCAAACACACACAACTAATTCTCACTCACTGAAAATGATGTAATAAATAAGTAAGCACCGAGAAAAGAACTCCCGTGAAGAGGAAAACCAAGACGACCAACGCCAACGTGAAACCTGCGATCCCCAAACGAGTCCTATGATAAATATGTCTCAAAGTCTCCCATTGCGCCCTCCCTTCACTCGCCTTGTACCGATTCACTTCTTCACAAACTCCCCTGTAATAAAACTCCTTCACATTCACTCCCGTTTGCAGCCTCTTCAACATGATCACCGTCTCCGCTTCCCGGCCGTACCCGCTGCCGACGAGAATGCCCTCGTCGCGAAGCACCTCGACGTCGTTTTTGAACTTCACCAGCTGCTCCATTAGTACCGCGTACGAGGTCACGATCTTTGGACACTCCGCGTGGCAATGCTCCATCGCGATGAGGTTCCCGAGCACGACCTCGGTGTGATCGTCGATTTTTAGCGTCGGGACCCGCAGCGCTCCGTCGACGAATGTCACGTCGAGCGGAGTCTCGGCGTCGTGAGCGTTCTCAAGCTTTATTCCGTAGGCGTGGAGTTGCACGGCGCGGTGCATCGTCGCGGCGTTTGTCGTCATTGTTGTCGAGTGGAGTCGGCGATTTTTCGGGAGGTAATGTAGCCGGATTAGGTCGAGTAAGTGATGGATTTCGGGGGAAAATTTTTTGCGTCCGCGTCGGCCGGGGAGGATTCGACGGAGGAAATTCGATGCGAGTTCGGGTAACGGTTTCGCGCATTCGATCGGGATGTGTACTAAACGGAAGATGTGGTCGACGACGAAGAACGGGAGCTGGTTTTCGAGGAGGATAAGGTCGGAGATTAATTGCGGCGACTTGTCGACGAGGGGGTCATCGCGGCGGCGGAATGCGGGGTGTTCGGTTTCGATGAAAAGCTCAATGACGAAGCAAGCGTCGACGAGGAGCATTTCGACGAATTGATTGGACTCCATCGGGATTTTTTGGCGGTAGAAGTTTCGAGCCTTCGGCTCGAGTTGTCGTAAGGCGGCGATGCAGCGGCGGAGGACGGCGGGGGCGGCGGTCGGGGTTCGGGCAAGCAATGCGTTGAGGTAGCGGTACTTGAGGGGGTCGGCGGGCAGCGGGGGGGCGCGGTGGAGGGGGCCGATGGAGAGGAGGGAGGGGCGGTAGATGCGGCGGTGGTGGTTGGCTTTGAGGAGGTGGTCGGAGACTCTGCAGATGCTGTAGGAGTCGGCGATGCTACTGTCCATTTTGGATTTGATTGAGGTTGTAAGGTCTTCTTCTTCGTCCTCGTTGATTATTTGGATGGATGAATGGTCTATGTGTGTTGATGGTGATGGTGATGAACTTGAGCCCTCTTCCATCTTCACACTCCTAAGAAACACGAATCTGAGCCATTTATGTAGTTCGAATAAAAATATAGTTTGTTTCTATATATAAAATAAAAAATAAAATAAAATAGAGATATTACAAGAAATTTATGAATGAGTTATAAAAAAGAATAGATTGCATAATATTCTTTTATGTTTTTTAGTATAAATATATAAAATATGAATTCCTATTTTATTTACAGTATAAAATTCTTTTATTAACTTACAATATACATGCATAAATCATTCTTTTAGTTATAACTGATCCTTGGATATAAATATGAATCTAATTATATAAATTTTATACAAATAAGAAAGATAAATTATTTAAAATAGCCTTATTTAAATATTGATCTTTAACTTTATAGTTTTTTTTTTCTTTTTCTTTTTTTAAAAAGTTAGATAACATTTTGTCTAAAATAATATAAGATGAATAGTTTATAGATTATTTTAGTTATTTATTTTATTTAAAAAATACTATTTATGATATATTACTCTTTTGTATATATAAAACTTGCAGTGTCTTTGGAATTAAATATCAATTTGTGTGTATTTTAATTTAATTAAATGAGATTTTACTTAATAAATAAAATATGAGATATTTTTTTATATTTTTATTAAAATAAGAGAATATATAATTTATCTTATAAAAAATGATTTGGGTAAGTAAAAAAAAACTAAAAACTAGTGACAAAATTATTAATATTAGCTAAAGTATGAATAATAAAACTATAAATAGATAAAGTATTTTATTACAAATATAATTTACATAATTTTAACGAATAATATATATATATATAAAATATTCACATAATTTTGACCGTGGAAGTAGGAGTATTTATTATTCTATTTTATTATCTTTCTTTTTTTCTAAATTAATTGTTCTATTTTATAATAAATGTGATCCTCACGTCACTATACAATAGCACATCGTGTGCTCATGGATAACACACCGTATAATTACAGACTATACATAACATGCATTAATATAATATAAATACAACACATGATATATTTTCGCACAATACATACAACAGTTGATTTTAGCACATAATATATTTTTATACAATACACGTTGTAAGTTATCAACAAATAGTACATCTCTTTATTACAAACAACATGTGCCGTAGATAATAAAAACATGTGTTGTTTCTGTATTTATGTGTGCTGATTAGAAAATCACTAAATTTTCAAATTTAGCACCGGATCCCTTCCCCACTATAAAACTACTATCACTTTTGTAATAATATTATACTAACGTTACTACTTTTAGTCTGCGATTAAAAATACAAAGTAAGGTAAAATAGAGAGTTTCACGTTTTATTATGGGCGTGTTTGTTTGGAGGATTGAATTTTAGATTTGAATTTTGAAAGAATTTTGAAGTATGAATTTTTAAGTTGTGTTTGTTTGGAAGTTTGAATTTTGTAATAATTATATTGGATAAAATTATTATTTTATTAAAGAAATTGATATATTAATGTGATAGTTTGAAATAGATGATATTTAAATATTATTTTATTAAAGAAAATGATATATTTAAATTTTGAAATTTTTTTTCTTTTATTTTTTTTTGTGTTCTTTTATAACAAAATTTCAAAATTCTAATTATTATTCAAATTTTTTTTCAAAAAAATCAAATTAAATATGTAATTATATATATAATGCTATTAGCACCGTAACCACCGCTAATCCAAAATAGAGAGGGTATAAAGCATCTTCAACCCATCAATTTCATTTATCCAATTTTATTTCAATATGCAGTTGCTACAATAATTTTACTCTAATCATAACTCTATTTTTCCCTATTATTCTTCATATATTCAATTTTTCCTATTATTTTAAACAACTTTTTATTTTTATAATTTTAAATAAACTTTTTAAAAATTTTAAAATAATAAAAATTAAATTTAAAAATCAAATTTATAATTTTAAAAAATACAAAAATAAAAAAAAATAAAACAAATACACCATAAATGGCGTTTGCTACAATGCAACACAAAAAATGGTGTTGCACTGTAGCAAACACCAAAAATAGTGTTGCAAATGCCGCTGGGTTGGAGCTTGATGGCGGCAGAAATGGAGTTCAGACGGCATAAATGGGGTGTGATTGGAGATGGCCTAAATTCTTTTATATACGACGTTACTTCTATTGGAGATGGCTTAAATTCTTTTATATACAACATTACTTCTATCCAATCATTAACCAAGTATGTAATACTCAGAATAAAATTTATTGTATAATTTGAAAGAAAAAAAAAAATTATTCAATTCTTAGGATGAATACATGATGGAAGGTTGTAGGGAACATGACAAAATATGTAAAGAATGTATATGAAACACGTGTTTCGTTTTATTCAAAATTTCAGTTTTTCAGTATTTGAACTTATTTTAAAAATATATATATATATTTTTTTCTCATAAAATATTCTAGCATACATTATTTTAACGATAAACTCAAATAAAAAATTTCCAAACTCAATCATAAAAAACATTGTAAAGATTAGTACATTGTAAAATCAAGATTAAAAAAACAAGTAATTGGGATGCTGTTAGCACTAAGTAGCATAGAGAAGAGAGACAAGTAATAGGTTCGGCTGGAGTTTACTCAGTGTACATTTTCGGATAGCGACTGCGAATTTCCACATCATTAAAAAAAAATAAAAAAAAATAAGACAACACATAATAAAATGTTTAATATTCAGAGCTGTAACAATATGACAAAAAAATAAATAAATATGATAATGACTAACCTGGTATACGGATAAGCACAAATTGAACTTAATATTAATATGCAGATGGAAGTGTAGGTTTTAGAACTGTGAATTTAAAGGTGAGGGAAGAAGAAGGAGAATCAAAGGAGACTTGTCCAATCGGCAACCAACACCAATTTATTCATTATAAAATAAATAAAATTGAAATGCAATTTATTATTTTAAATGGTATATTTATATAAATATGGATATAAGATTAGTTACCCTTTTTTTTTTGTATATATAATGACTTTATATATAAACTGCTAAATTAAGTATTATTGTTACTATAGCTCTTTATTTAAAGAGAACTTCTTCGTTGTGAAGCAAAGAAAAGGATCATATATAATATTACTATAGAGATGAGAAAGCCATGTATCCATTATTGCAATGTGATTTTTTTTATTTTTTTTTTTCACATAAAAATTTTATTTGAGTTTTATTTCCATAAGAATAAAAGACACTTTTAAAAGATATTTTTATACACATCTAGCTTGTTTAGTTCGTTGGAATTTTATGTTATATTGAGTGTAATAATTTAAGACATTTAATTTGAGTTCCTTTATTATTTTTTCTTATGACGTTTATGTACTAATTGTTAGTTCTACGGATGCCAACGGGGCGGGTTCGGGACGGGTTCTGCAGGCCCTAAGACCCCACGCTAGAAAATTTTAGACTCCGAGACTCGCCCCGCCCTGCTTTCACCCGGCCCCAGGACCCGCCCCGAATCTGGAGGGTTCGGGGCCAACCCGGCAAACTCGTTTTTTTTTTAAATATATAATAATAAATATTTTTTTTAACAATCGAATACTAAAACAAATAGCATTAAAAGCACAAAAAAAAATCTAAAAACAATCAAATATTGATCCATAAAATAAGATAAATAAATAAATAATATATTTTTATTATATAAATATACATATATTAGGTATAATAATTTTAAAACATTATTTGGAGCAGACGACTAATTGAATTTTATATTTAAAATTATTTAAGTGATCCGGGTCCGAGTTGGGGCGAATTTTTAGTAAAACTCGTAACCCGCCCCAAACCCGGCCGGATTTAAAATTTTAAATCCACAACCCGCCTCGAAACATATTATTTAGACCCGAACCCACTTTATTAAGAACGGGTCCGGGGTTAACCCGCTCCGTTTGACATCCTAGTTAATTCTTTTAGTTCTTACATTGAAAATTTTCTAGCAAAGGTTAAAAGTGCATGTGTTCACTTTGCACTTTTTTCTAAAAAGTAAAATTTAATTTATGCAATATATATATATATTTTTAAACCGCAAGAGATTTTGTAATAATAATAATAATTATTATTTTTTTATTATTATTATTATTTTTTTAAATCAACGAATTTATTGTATTTTCGAATGAATGTATTGTTTTTATATAGGGATATGATCAAATGCTGAGTTGAATAATAAATCACCATAAGCCAAAACTAATCTTGACAGATTAATTTAACTCTAATTATATTAATTAAATAAATAATTTAATTAATTAAGGATGTGGCTTAAATTCAAGCTCTATTAGAATAATGAATTCAACTGTTGATCCAGACTTTTTTATTTTTTTTTATATATTAAGTACGATAAATTCTTTTGTTAATATAAAATAATATTTTATATTGAGTTATGGATATTTTGTAAATAAATAAAATATATATTATATATTGTGTTAATACGTGTGTATTGTATATTTTTTAATAATATTTATGAGTAATCTTACTACTAAAAAACACTAAGTGAACAAAACATTTGATTAGTGACATACTCTCCGTCTCAATTCAAAGTAATATTTTTACTACTTTCGTCTGTCTCATGTGATCATACACTAATATCAAAATATTTTTAATTTTTACATAAATTACATAATATTACACATTCAATTATTTTATAAAAAAAGTTAAATGACAAAAATATTTTTTTAATCTACTACGAAACCCGAAGTGACCCATTCCTTAATAAAATAAAATTTAATAAGTTAATCATAATATATTATGATATTATATTATCATTTTTTTTTTTATGTAAGTGACCGTTTGGTATTTTTAAAATAAAAATTATATTAATATATAATTAAAAACTTAAAATATGTATTTATGTATTTTAAATACTATATCCCAATAAAATATATGTAATATGATATCATTTTGTAGAAATCAAATTTTATATAATATAATTAAATAAGAAATATATTTATTTATGATTAACATAAATTAATTTTATAAAAAATTTAATTAGAGATAAAAATATTTATTTATTAAAAGAGAATAATCAAGGGTTTTAAGTGAATCTGATGTTAAAAATTTAGTTAAGTTAATTAGAAGGTATATTCAAAATTGTTAAATTTATTAAAAGTAAAAATATATCAATATGATACATACTCAAATATATATATATATATAAAATGACTATGTTTGCCATGCAAAAATAGTTTACGGAAATTAAAAAATTATATTATATTGATTGTAAAAATAGGATCAAAATATACTGACTCAAATCTAAATACAAAAATTATAGAATAAAAAAATCTCAAACATTAAACATCTCTCTTTTTATTATTTTAAAGATGTTTTTCGCTCTTTTTTTCGCAACTAACAATCGAGCCAATTTCTTTTTAACATTCATAATGTATAATAACAATAAGTATAAGCGATGAACTCAAAATATATTATTGACAACGGATTCAAACATTTGGCTATAGAAGAAAAAAAATACGATAAGGAATTATTTATTTTTCAGCAAAAAAAAAAGAAAAAAGAATATAATGCTCAAAGGTTAACTAGCCCATAAATGATAAAGTAGAAAATTTATAGGCCAAGTGGGGTAATCCTATTGTTTCCCTATCATTTTAATCGCATCGACTCTTTGAATCATGTTCATGCATAACTCCGTAAGTTCTATACTTAAAACATTAGAAATATCTTCATAAAGCATACCTAAAACTATAACCAACATCAGATACTTTTATTTAACACAATTAAATACTCCCTCAGTCCATTTACAAAGGTTACATTTACTTTAGACCAGGTGTTTAAGAAACAATAGTATTTTAATTATAATGAGTAGTTAAAAGTAGTGTAATGACATTTTTGCCCTTACATTTTTGTGTAAAAGTAACGATGTGATGGATGTAAAGTAAGGGTATTTGTGAAAAAAAGTAGCATAATGAAATATAAATTTTATAATTGGACGTCTCAAAATAGAAATATGTAAACTTTGTAAATAGATGATGGATTATAAGCTTTTAAATACAAATTGGGGTTGGTTTGCTCTGGTAAGCCTCTATAAGCATATATATATATATATATATGTATATCGTACTTATAAAATGGAATCTCAGGTACTGTCCTTCCTGCAACTCGACCCTAATTCTGATCCCCTGATTGCCATTACTATTCATATCGAAACAGACAGACACACACAGGCTGAGATTCATGTCTGCTTATCAGATCAGAGCACATAGAGCAGCAGCAGCCGCACAAAACAACAAAGATCGTGAATCGATCGAATAGGTAGAAGAAATAATCAGGACAGCCGCCATACCCCAATTCCCAAAAGTTGGATGTATTATATATGTAGTATGTAATAATTCAGGATCGGACTGGATCATCATCTCATCTCATTCATTATTATCTTCTTCCTTCTGAAGAGATTAAGATTATATCGCCATGGAGAACACAACGATGAATCCTTTTTTCGATGAAGATAAAGATAAAGCGCTGCTACAAAAGATTCAGCAATTGGAATTAGCTTATGCTCACTTGAAGCAAGAAATTTCTAACCTCATTGCCCGAAAAAACATCGCTTCAAATTCTTCGACGAAGCAGACAAGTCGCCGTAGTTCACCTGAGCTTTCGGACAATCAGTGTTATAACATATTGCAGTCGATGGGGCAGGCGGTGCACGTGATTGATCGAAACCTCATCATAATTTATTGGTTAGTCTTCACGCGATGCATCTGTGTATCAAAATGATGATATGTTTCGATTTCTCCGTTGTTGTCTTAAAAAATTCAATTATTGCAGGGGTTGCGCCGCGGAAAATCTTTACGGGTATTTAGCTTCGGAGGCGCTTGGATGTAATGTAGTTGAGCTGCTCACAGATTCCCAGCACTATTCCTCTGCAAAAAACATCTTGCGCCGTGTCGAGACCGGAGAAAATTGGACGGGAGTGTTCCCGGCGACGCATAAGCGAGGGGAATCGTTGTCGATTGTTGTAACCGAGACCCCTTTATATGACGATACCGGCGCTTTAATTGGCGTCGTATGTGTGTCGAGCGATTTGAACGCATTAAATGAAGAAAAGTGTGGTCTGTCGAGTTTTTACATCCATCAAAGCGATGCTGCGACAGAAGTTGAGTGTAATGATTATCTTCGTCTTTGTCAGCTGCCTCTGCAGAGGTTAGTAGCCTCCATAGTATCGAAATTGGTTTCCGTTTTTAGTAATGATCGCGACAGGATAGAGGAAAGATCGAAGTTTGAACATCATGGTACTAAAGCCGCGGGTAGTAATGACAACGCATTGGGATCTTGTTTCTCATCGCTCGTCGACACAACGAGTAGTTATGGTAGTTGCGGAAGTGCTGGCAGCGGCGCTGTTAAAAATATCGACAGCAATGGCGAGTTCTTGGATTACGAAATCTTGTGGGAGGACTTGACTATAGGCGAACAAATCGCGCGAGGTTAGTGTTGAAATATTTTAAATTTGATTTTATCCATAGATTAGATCATTTATATTTGAAGCTATCGAGTTTGTTTTATGTTGCCTCAGTATGCAATATACTTTTACAATACAATTTTATGTTGCCTATAGGTCTCTTATTTTGATGATCAGTATAATGCAATTTTTCAATCTTCATAATAATTTCCACATTAGCGCATACATAAGTTTTCGACGTGTTGATCGAGCTTCACGTACTCGTCGTAGGTTCTTGCGAAATCGTGCATCGCGCGCTTTGGCACGGGACAGTACGTTCGACAGCTCTCTTCCACATTCGACGAATTACATTTCTTGTCATTACATTTTCGATGATCTGCAGGATGTGGCTGTCAAGATGTTCTCCGACGCCGAGTCTTCAGACAATGCTGTCCTTTCCTTTTGTCGCGAGGTCTGTCCGAATTCTAATCTTTTTCATCAAACGGAGCATTTAAGAAAAAAATCGAAAACTATGTTGTTTTCTTTTGTTTCTTTCTCAAGTTGTCGCTAACGGGGAGGCTTCGCCATCCGAATATTCTGCTGTTCATGGGCGCTGTCGTTTCTCCGGAACATCTCTGCATCGTTACAGAGTATCTTCCACGGTATGCGCTGTTAGTTCATATTTTTTTCGCTATATTCGATTCTGAGTCGTTCTCTTGCAGGGGAAGTCTGTTCCGGTTATTACAAAGGACATCGTCGAAACTCGACAAGAGACAGCGAGTCCACATGGCTTTGGACATCGTAAGTTGCTAAATGCGTCGAAAAAATTCCTTTACATTGTTATCATTACGTAACGCTTAAATGCGCCGGGCAGGCTCGAGGCATGACCTATCTTCATAATTTGAGTCCACCGATCATTCACAGCAATCTGAAGTCTTCGAATCTTCTCGTCGACAAGAACTGGACTGTCAAGGTATCGCCGATTCTATGTTATCCTTTCCGTGTTTTTATTACAAACAATGACTTAAAATCCGGCGCGCTCGGTTTCTCAGGTTGGCAACTTTGGACGCTCCTGTCTTAAAAACGACTCTTATTCGACAACAAAGAAAGGAACGGTACTTCTCGACTGTCTATTAACAAACTTTTGCGCGTCGAAACTACTTATGTGTTTGTTTGAGAAATGCAGCCTCAGTGGATGGCTCCTGAAGTTCTTCGCAACGAACCTTCGGATGAGAAGTATGTTCGAGTATTAGTCGAATATTGTTTTTTGTGTGTCAATGATGTTTTCTTTCTAATTTGGGATCATCGTATCAGGGCTGATGTGTATAGCTTCGGAGTGATACTATGGGAGCTCGTCACCCATCGAATTCCATGGGATCACCTCAACTCGATGCAGGTAAGTTTTATTACATAATGTAAATGATCGTTCCACCTAAAAGCTTAAGCTATTAAGGATACGTGTGATTTATTTATTTATTTACAAATGGGGGTCAACTAACACGCCCCCCTCACGTGCACCAAACAAAACTTGCACGTGGATGACGAAAAATGATCGATGATCAGACTCGAACTCGAGAATACTCTAATACCATGTTAGATGATTTGAATGACTATTTTACTTAAAAAAAAGCTTAAGCTACTATAAATATATTTTATTTGGTTTAAAAATAGCAAAAATTGATTTGTTCTTCAATATTTAATATTTTTAAATAAAAATAATAGAATATACTTATATAGTTATGTTGAATTTTTTTGTTTTAAGCACATTATTTTTGTTCGATTTTTTTTTTCTTCTTTATCCCCGTGTATCAAAGGGAACTAAAAAAAAAAAAAGATATCAAACTGATAAAAATGAATTTACATTTTGCATTTCTCCAAAGTTTGGAGACTAGTTCGCCCCCAACCCTAATACTAATGTTGAAATTTTGGATCCCTTATCAACATAGTATCAAATAAGGGTATTGATCATGTTTAGAAGTTATCTAGGATCATATCAAATGTTGTCCGGTTGTTACAACTTGTTACTTTTTGTAGAATTTCAAAGTTGCATGCTATTAATAATGAATTTTGAGGCCTATTTGATACAAATCAAATAGACTCAAACAATAGAAACTTTTTGATAATAGAAATAGAATCTAAACTATAGATTAAATATCTAAAATATATTTCACAGGTGATTGGAGTCGTCGGGTTCATGAACCAGCACTTACAGATACCCAAAGATGTCGAGCCTCAATGGCGTCACATAATCGAGAGCTGCTGGCATAGGTTTGTTGCTCCATCGAACACCCTTTTTTTTTTTTTTTTTCGCACAATTGTTTTATCTTACAAGTTTTTTTTTTTTTTGGATAGTGACCCGAAATGGCGGCCTTCGTTCCAAGAATTAGTCGAGAAGCTGAATGCGATGCACCAAGAATGTGCTACGATTCAAGCCCATGCCGGGTGCGCCGTCGATGGGAATACCAATGGCTAGAAATATATGATCTTGCTTGCGTTAGAGAGTTTTTTAATGGTATCTATAGGCGTGTTTCGGTAGATACGCACAAATAAATATCTATTGATATAATATTTTGAATATTAAATATATATATTTTTTTAAAAAAAGTGTTCAATGTAACGAAACTAAAGAGTTTATATACAAGGGTGCATTAGAAAATATGTATGCATTTTCCAACATGTGTTATTTTCAATTCGGATATTGAATTTTTTAGTAGATAATTTTTAGTATAAATACATATTTATATTTGTAAAATTACTAGTGCTAAATAAATTTCAATATTTTTAATTTATAATCATGAATATTTCAAAAGTTAGTAAATATATAAAATAGCATATATTGATGTTAATTAATTTTATTCTGCAATTATAAATTTACAATCACTATTATTCAATTAAAAAATTTATACCAATAAGTACGTATAATAAATTATATTATGTTGAAAAGTTAAGGAAAAATTATCTTCATCATCTTTAATTAAAGGAATGAAAAGATCTCTATTTAAAACCATATATAATTATTCATACAGTATTCAAAATTATAAGGATAAACATATACTTATTTATTACTATTATTATTAACAATATTATAGTATATATTTTTTATATACTCGTTATCTTCTATATAACAGTCTTGTTTATCATTTTTGTCTCATCCAAAACAATAGTCTTATTTTTATTAATAATCATATCACGTCTTTATTTTTTCATTATTATTACACAATTACCACTATTTTTTACACTAAATACACTCACAAGGACAAAAAAGTCTTTTACCGTACTTTTTACCTACTATCAATATAATATCAATATTCATTAAATCTCATGTCAAAACAACCAAGACTATAATTCTGGGATGGAGGGAGTATAATATTATGTTTTTTTAGAGTAAAATTCGGGTACCCGTTAGATTTCGGTTATAAATTTTCATATGTGATATCCAACCCAATTTTTAATTGGATACCCAAAATCCGTAAACATTGTGTATATATATATATATATATATTTCGAAAAACACCAACCCGTAGAAAAATGTATCGAATTAAATTCTAATGGAAGTACGATTTAAAAAAGAAATAGATATATTAATTGTATATATTTCAAAATGATAAAAATAAGTATAGTGTTTGTGAAAGTGTAGAATGTATCAAAATTAGAAAGGGCAATAGGTTGATTCGTGTCGGGTTGAATACTTTAAACGGGTTAAATTACTCAACCCTAATCCGACCCGTTTATTATCGTGTTGGGTTCGTGTTGACCCGTTTATTATCGTGTTGGGTTCGGGTTGAATCGTGTTGACCCGTATACATAATTAAGTCGGAATTCTTGATTCAAATTAAATTATTTTTTTGTCGCGTTGTCATGTTATATTAGTTTTTATTGATTTGAGAGTAAATTAAGTTGAATTATTTAAAATTGAACTTAGTTTAAATTAATTTATGAAAAATTAGTAAATTATAATTATTTTACATATACAGTAAATATATTAATCAATATTAATATATTATAATCGGGTTGTCGTATCGGATTCGAATTGAGAACCGCAACCCTAACCCGACCCATTTATTATCGTGTCGGGTTCGTGTCAACCCGTATACATAAACGGATTGAAATCTTCCACCCAAACCCAATTATTTGGGGTCAGTTTTCGCCAGCTCTAATCAAAATAAAATAATCTAAAACTTTAGAAATTCAACAATTATTTATGTAACTAACTCTGGAAATTAGGATCGTGCAAATCTATTTTCCTTAACTCTCTCTATGAAAACGTCAAAGCATTTGCATGAACTTCGCCATTTCTTAAGAAACTTCGACCAAGTCCAGAAACTAACAACTTCTTCTTCTTCTTCTTCTTCAGGTATTGAATTCGAGCATTTTTGTGCTTTGTTTTGTTAACCAGATCTAGAAAGAAAGAATGGAGTTTGTGTTCAAGCAATTCGACGTCGTGAAGGAGGTTTCGGATCATCATTTCACCAACGATAAATCAAGAAAAAAGCAAAAAAAATCATTCTCCTACAATGGGAAGTATCCTCAATTCTACACCAAAATCATGAGAGAATGGAAAATCCTCGAGAAAAACCTCCCCGAATCGATCTATGTCCAGGTAGAATTGTAAACAAATCGAATAAATTAAAGGAAAATAAATATTACTACATTTTTCATTCAATTCTTAGTTCAATCTTTGTAATATACAAAAAATAAATAAATAAATATAAACACAGATTATCATGAAGAAAAAAGTAGCACGAAAGCATTGTTTACTATTCTAATAGTGTTAAAGACTATTATTTTTTATTTTAAATTAATTCAAAGTTGTATTTTCAACTCTAATGACATTTAGAGAACCCATTGATTATGATTTTAACTATGTTAAGAGTTTTATTCTGATTACATTGAAAGTTTTGTTTTAATTTATTTTGATGATGCCGACAATCTGGTCGACTCAGATTTTGATGATATATTTTTATTCTTACCTAAAGATTCTAATTTTATCATTAATACTCGAACATTGAATCGAACAAAATTATTTTTCGATAGGTATACGAAACGAGCATCGATTTGATCCGCGCAGCAATCATTGGCCCGCCGGGGACGCCGTACCACGACGGGCTCTACTTCTTCGACATCTTCCTCCCGATGGAATACCCTGAAATGCCCCCGAAAGTTCACTACCATTCCTACGGCTACAACCTCAACCCTAACCTCTACTCCAGAGGATTCGTCTGCCTCAGCCTGATCAACACGTGGCGCGGCGACAACGTCGAGAAATGGCGGAAGAATCAATCCACCCTTCTCCAGCTCCTCGTCTCCATCCAAGGCCTCGTCCTCAATGACAAACCCTACTTCAACGAACCTGGCCGCGAGGTCGGAATTTCCAGCGACGATCCCAAATGGATTAAACGATGCCAATCTTACAATGAGTCCGTCTTCGTCCTCGCCTGCCGGACCATGGCGCGCACTCTGCGGAAGCCGCCGGAGAATTTCGAGGCGATTGTCGCGCAGCATTTCCGGGATCGGGGGGAGTGTATTTTGGCGGCGGTGAAGGCTTACCGGCGGGGACGGTGCCCGATCGGGCAGTTTCATGAGAGTGAGTGTGGGAGAGAAGGGGGTTTGAGGTCGGTCAGGCCGGTGTCGGAGGGGTTTAAGTATAAGTTGAAGATAGCGGAGAAGGAGCTTAAGGATAGTTTGAGGCGGTTGAAGGTGCACCCCGGCTGGGAGTGTAGATCGGCTTCCCGCGCCGGAAAAGCTACTGCGAGAAAGAAGAGATATTGGGTTTTGAGTTGGGTGTGTTTTCTGTTCAGGGAGAATAAATAAGAGCTATCTCTTGGTGTTATCGATATGTTTTGTAGTCGGGATATGATATCTTAATTTTGCAATTTTGTAAAAATAATATGGTTTTCAATTATGATACCTCCAATCTATTGAAAGTAAGTAACACTGTGATTGTTCGTGAGAACGTTGAACTAAGATACATGAACTTGATTTCATGTCAGATAATGTAATTTGTGTTTAAAAAATGAAATAAGACAATAGTTGTTGGACGTACGAGATAGGAAAGTAGGACATTAATTTGTGGACGGAGGGAGTATATATATATACTGAAATAAATTATAAATTGTGTTGTTATTTATTATGACATGCCTTGCATTATTACTATATTAACTGAAATAGGTTGAAACGTTTCCAAACCTAGGGATGGGCAAGGATCTATTTGCAAATATACATGTATTTGGTATTCAAAATCAAATTAAATAAATACCCGAAATCGTAAATTGTATTTGAACCGATAATTTTGGTAACGAAACTTTAAGTTAACAAAAAATATTAACAATATTTGTAAAAAATTCGACGAAAAATAAAAATATTTGAAAATATTTCAAATCGAACCAAAAACCGGGAAATCATTATTTATTTAAAATTTAAATATAATAATATAAATATATTCGATTTGGTTCAATTAATGGAAAAAGTAAAAAAAAAATCGAAACTGAATGAAATCGAACAAATATCAAAGCGTAGCATTTGTATTCGAACCGATTTTGCTCGATTAACCGAAAATTCAATTTGATTAAGTGATTTTTTTTTATCCCTATCCGAACGAATTGCAGACAATTCATTACTATTGGCATGAATAGGATCTGTATTAAGATTCAAGCCTGGATTTTTAAATGCTGAATTTTGTCATCGGAAGTAAATGAGCCGGTCCGGACCGGCCCAGTCTACTAAATAATGTTGATGGGCCCAATTAAAAAATGGCTTCTAATTAATAGGCCCATTCAAAACCCTAATTCTCCACTGCAGCTATTTAAATGCGTTCCCAGCAATGGATTGTTCATCTTCTTCCATTTTCTGAAGCAGCGGTCGAGGCGGTCTTCGACATTTTTTCTACCAGTGTAGGATTTTAATTGTGTTGCGATTTGATGTAGAATAGCGAGGTGATGTTTGTTTGCTACGTATTGAACTCGATTCGTGTTTGTTTATTGGTGGTGTTGGTTGCTGTTTTTTTTGAGTTTTGTTTTTGGTAACGGTGGGATGTTTCTGGAATTTTTGGCTGGGTGTTCTGCTGTTTCCGATGATGGCATGATATCTTTGAGACCTGATTGTCAATTTGATGACAAATACAAGCATGTTTCGCTGAGGAATCGCTTCTTCTTAAATTTCTTCTTTACGAAGCAATTTCGAAATTTTATCTTGTGGAAAGTTTTACAGTGTTGATTTGTTTGCCATGGCGATGATAATTGATATGATATGATATGATGATCGCACTGGGCTCTGAGCAGTATTCATCATTTTGGAACTGCTTTTTGATGCACAACGCAGCCTAGAAAGCTATATCTGATCATTCTCTTTTACAATTTATTTTAAAAATTGGGTTGAAATTTGGGGAATAAATGTTTATTTTGATCTTGATATTGTTTAAATCTACGGCATTCTTTTAGTTTAAATGGTATATTTTGTGTAATTACTGAGGATTATTGTTGTTATTTTTTAAAATAACATGAGATGACTATTATAATATTTTTATAAAACATAATTAAATATTGCAAACATAGTAAAGGCATTTTTATAAAAATATATTACTAATTTTACTTCAGTTATAAATTTTAACTTTTATTATTGATTTTAATGGCTACATTCTGTTACAGCTATGTATATATTCATTTTAGATACTCTCTTCGTCTTGATGCAATATTCTTGATTATCGTTTTTGTCTGTTTCATAATAATAGTTTTATTATCATAAATAAAGACAAAAAAAATTATTTACCAACTACTAATATAAAATTAATATTTTTTTATTAAATTTCGTGTCCAATACAATAAGATTTTGGAGAAAATATAATTGTATATATTTGGAAAACTATTACAGAAAAAAAACACTTTTCCTTTCCCTTGGGGTTTTTTTGGCTCTGTTTTTTCTCCTCTTTACTTCGCTTTTTCAACTTTTTATTTTTATAAAATTACATAGTTTTATATAATTTTTTATCTTTATAAGTTACACAGTAAATTTTTCATTTTGATTTTTATATATTGGTTAATGTAAATTACTATTACATTGTCAACATGTTCTATTTATTTTTGATGTTTCAATATTAATTATTATATAAAAATTAATATAAATTAAGGAAAAATGACAAAAATAACTATAATACTATTATAATGACAATTTTACAAATAAATTATTCAGATATAATAATATTTTTAATATTAAATATAATGAGATAAAATATAAATGAGATTTTAGAGAAGGATATAAGAAGTATTTCATAGATATATTTAGTCTAATAAAATAATATAATATATATTTTACTTTTGATATTAAAAGTAAAGTAAAATAATAAAAATGGAAGTTATTTTAGTATATCTAATAGAATTATTTTATTCAAAAAATACGAAATTTGACTTGAATATATTGAAATAGTAAAATGAAAACTTATAATTAAACAATGATACATTCTCTGTCCACAAATTAATATTTTATTTTTTTATTTGGAATATTTAACAATTATTGTTTTATTTTTTTTTAAATATAAATTTTACATTTTTATTTTTTATTAATTTATTACTTTTAATTTCTACTATATATTTAAGACAAATTTGTCAATTTATAACAAAAAGACAATTATCTAAAAAAAATTGTTTAAATATATTTTAGGACAATAAAAATTGGCCGAACGAAGTGTTAGTTTGTAGCGATTTATTAGATATACATTACAAATATAATATATTTATTTTGTGGAGTTATTATATTGTTTTTATATATGTTCTATTAGATTATTATGGAGTGGATATGAAAATATTTATTTTTAATTTGTCTAGTTAGACAATAAATTATTGAAAGTGATGGTTTCAACGGTTGTTATTTCAACTAATGGAGATTGTGTTTTTAAAATATCTGTTATAGGTACATTGAGATTTGTTTATCTTTTTATTGTCATATTATATGTATAATAATTCAAACGGTGATAGTATTTTAAAGAACATTTTTTTTTGTCATTTTTTTTTAAAAAATTAAATAGCTCAAGTAATTATATGCGAACATGTTTTTTTTTTTTGTCATTTTTTTTTTGTTAAAATTGAACGGTTCAAATAATTATATGCAAATGTGCTTGTATAATTTTATAAGTTAGTCCAATTTTTGTTTATGTGCAAAAAATCTTTTCTTTAACCTTGTGGATCAGAAATAATTTGCACAAAAGTAGTCTATTTAGGATAAATATTATCCGCTAGATAATATTTTGTATTGTATTATCTTTTTTAAAATATCTAATATGTAGGATGAGCTATTTAGGACATAATTTGAAAACAAGAGGATTTTAAAATATTAATATCATTATTAACACCCAGTATACTAAAATATGGATGTCATATTCTAATATTATAATCAATCACAACTTCAAGAATAATAGTCGATGATTCATCCCTGTATATTGATCTATGAAAGCCATATGATTTTTCTTAAATTTACAAAGCATATAATATAAACTAACAACAATCACGAGATTCTTTAATATGAAACAACCTTGCAATATTATTAGCATTAAACTATCGAAAATATTCAGTTGAAAATTTTTTAATGACATAATTACATAATCTTTTAAAACTTTCGAAATCGAATGTATTGTTAAAATTTTTCTTATTCATTGCCTAAAAATATCATATGAAAATGTTCAAGATCAAGAACAAAATTTGAAATTAAAGTTTACCTGACGTTTTAAGCTTGTTAAAAAAAAGTAGTCTTCCGATACTTTCCTTTAAACTTTTCGATGAGTTTTTTAGAGTATTAAGTATGTCTTGTGATATTTTTCATTTTTTTTTTATTTTTCAATGTCATTCTAAATGAACAATGTTTTTTCAAGAGATCTATATGATGATATATCCAATATGAGTTTTTTTTACAATAAATGCTCCTTCAAAGGACTCTTTCGAAGAGTGATGAATCAATGATTGTCAAGTATTGACGAATGATGAGATGATACCATTGCTCCCAAGCTACCTTATAGAGAAAAATAGAGTGGTATCATTTCGTTTATTTTTTTTGATCCAAGTTGTGGAAATGATGTTGGCAATCAATTGTTGACTAATTGAAGCGTAAAAAAATATGAGATCGACGTCTCTGCTCCTAACACAATTCAAGAGTTAGAAGAACTATGCTTGAATCAAGAGTTTGAATTTTTGGACGAAATTGAAAATTTTCATAACATTTTCGATATCCCGAAGATGAATCTAGAATTACTAGATGAAGTTGGAAATGGATATGAAAAAACTCAGACGCTCTATCGATTATGTATCTGATGCTTTGTTTCACCGCCTTTTGTTTTGGTGTTAGACTTGAATGTTCACATATATCAATTTTTCAGTTAAAATACATAAACACTATTTTATTTGTGACAATAGATATGTCATCTATATTCACTCATACATTAAATGCATCATATATATTACTATGAAATTATGGATTGGATTGGTATTGAGAATCCTCTAGGTCCAAAATATGAATTGTAATATAATTTGTTTTTCATCTTTTAAATTTTCAACTTGTTGTGGATAATGCATGTGTTGATGAATGAATATACAATCCTTTAGTATTTTCTTGATGGTTTTGCACATTTGAGTCTCAATGTTCTACAATTTTTTTTTTTCTTTTTCCTTAATTTGTACATAATACCTTATACCTTATTCTTGTTGTTGTTTTGTCTAAAGTAACCGAATTCACTACTTTCACTTTGTCGATTTCAGTCACAGCCATACCTTTGCATCCATAATACTTTAGACATTCCAACAAAGTCAAACATTAGCTTGTATTTGTCCTTCTCATCCAAAATTTGTATTTTTTAGCTGGTATTTTTACTTTGCTACTTAATGTGTATATATTTTGAAAATTATTCTCGCAAACAATTGTTAAGATGCAATGGTAAAAGTTAAGAATTTGACTTACCAAGCACAATTAAGAGATCATTGCAAATGAAAAATGAAAATTGCTTTATATAGATGTTTTCAACCACAAACATAGTATCCAACAAAAATTTCTCCAAAAAACTCAAAAAAGTTAATATAAAACAAATTGCATAAAATTCACTTAGGTTTTATTATAAATTCATAACATATTGGTGTGTTTGTTTGAATGATTTGTTTTCATTTCTACTATTGACAATTTTTTTTTTCTAAAAATATCAAATCCAAGAACTTTTTTTTTATTTTTTATATTATAATAAAAATTATTTTACATTCAAAATATTACGTCAATTTATATTTATATTACATCAAATAACTATTCAAATTCAAAATTTTACTATTTGAAACAAAAACTCCAAACAAATACATATTTTGTATCTTATTTATTGCGTAAAATCTCTCTATATTAAGTGATTGTTGAATATTTTTTGAATGTTCCATTTATATTTGATTTGCTCACATATAGTCAATGTTGCACATTGAAACATTTGAGAACTTTATAGATAAGACAAAACAAGGTTGCATAATGTGAAAACACAATTAATTCCCCTTGAATGGTCAGTCAAACAAGGCATATAAACTAGCTTGTGCCTAAGTTTTGTATAGAGAGACAAAATAGTGAAAAATAGTATTCCGTTTGTGTCACTTAATTTGTCCACTCTTTTCATATTTGTGCGTCCCGCAAAAATTTTTTTTTTTTTCAAAAAGAATATAAGTATACACTTTAATCACATTATAAAATTTATAATTTATATATATATTTTTTATTTTAATTAACTATTTATTCATTTTAATCTTTATCTATAATTATTTTTACTAATATATTTCTTAATTATTTACTAATTAATAATACCTAAAACTTCGTACCCCAACTAAAGTGGACAAATTAGCTGTGACGGAAGGAGTATTACTTTGTAGTAAGAGATACTATTTGTTTTCTCTTTATTTTGAATTTTCTCGATACTCTTTGTTAAAGATAACTCAGAACATTCATGGTGCCTTGAAGTTCATCTAAAAAATGAACATTTAGTTTGCCAACCGGAGAAGAAGAATCAATACATGAACACATTTACTCTAAATTAGACAAATAGTAAGTTATTATTTTATCTACGTTTTGATTGCTAATTTCTTCTGAATAATTATTCAAAGATGGTTATATGAGAGGATAGTTAGTAATCATTGTTTGTTGAGTGGTAGTGTCTATTGTTTACCTAGTGATATGTTTATTGAACATCTCTTATATTTAAATCCTCTAAATGTCAGGTTATTATTCCGAAATGGATCATCAAATCTTGTATGTTGTTTTGTTTGTTGTTCGAACTTGGCTAGCCATAGACAAGTTTATTTAAGACAAATATACATTTTAACCACTGAACAATCGTGTGTT